AGGGGAGGCCCCGGGAAACGCGGCGAGGGGCTGGGCCGGCGGGGGCTCCGGAGGCTTGCGCCCCAGCCCAGACCGCCCCTGACCGCCGTTCAGCTTGAACCGTAGCCTCCCGTCGGAACCCCGGGGGGCAGACTTGTCAGCAGGTGGGAGGTTCAAAATTAGGCAAAAGGTTTTCTCAGTGGATCTTGGCGGAGGACTTCGCGAGACTTCACGGGGACGCCGTGGGCCCAGTTAATTAGGCAGATGATACAAACAGGCAGTGTATTACAATGAGCGATTCATATTGCCACACTGCCATTTTCGAAGCAATTATAAGCGTGACAGTTACAAAATAGAACAAAAATGTGTCAACTATTTTGTTCAACTAACTATTAAATAAGTCAGGTTCGAAAGGTAATTGAATAAAGCAATGTTAGAATAAGATTGCTAAATAGGAAATTGGGTAGCGTGCTACGGTGACTCAGCCCTAAGTATCTGACAGCCTGGAAACTCCCATCCCCACTCAAGAAAAAAAAGTAATTCCGTTTATAGAGAATTCCTGAGAGCAGCCTCAATGTTTATTGTGGCAGGCCTCTCTGCATCTTTGGAGATAAAACAGCAGATCTAGAAGCAAGCAGAAACAATGTCATTAGGTCCAGTGTGGCAAGGGTTCAAATGTCATCTCTCTCCCTCTTTCCCTCCCCTTGCCCCTCTCCCCTGCTTACACTCCTCTATTTTTCAACTCATTTTTTCTCCATATTGGCTTCATTGTCAGACCGGCTCTTCATGATAGCCCTCTTCCTGGGTGGCAAGGACAACCCCTCAGGGAAGCTTATGCCCCTTACTCATCCCCCTCAGTCCTGAAAAAGGATCCCAATTGACAAGTTTGATAGCACACCTAAGGCAAAGGAGTTAAGTTCTATGACCCAACGTGGGATGGAGGGTGCTGATGTTCCCCAAAGAAGAGGTTATTGAAGAGAAAACTACGGGGGCATGTGGGTGGCTGAGTTGGTTGGGTGTCCAACTCTTGATTTCTGCTCAGGTTCATGAGTTCAAGCCCCCCACCTGGCTCTTCGCTGACTCTACGGAGCCTGCTTGGGATTCTCTCTCCCTCTCTCTCAAAAAATAAATTAAACAAAAACAAACAAACTGCAGTCCCAAAATGGCATCACTCAGGTTAAAGCCCCAAGTCAGTAAACCAAAACTTAATACCTAACCTAAATACAATTTCAACTCCCCAGGAATGTAACCTTTAACCAATCAACATGGAATTTTATGGTCAATACTAGGAAATTTACGGGTAGACCCCATACACTCTCCTAAGGAGCACAACCTTGCCTAAACAGAGTATTCCTTGCTAACAAATTCTTTTCTTCTTCTTTTTAATGCCCTCTCTTGCTTTAATTTTTGTTTATTTATTTTGAGAGAGAGAACAAGTTGGGTAAGGGCAGAGACAGAGAGGGGAGAGAGAGGGAGAGAATCTCAGCACAGAGCCCAGTGTGGGCTCGAACCCACGAACCATTAAGATCATGATCTGAGCCGAAACCAAGAGTCGGACACTTAACCAGCTAAGCCACCCAGGTGCGCCACCCTCCCCCTGCCTCTTGCCTTAAAAAACCTTTCCCTTATTTAGCTCAGTGGAGCTCCCCACTACTTTGCTACATGGGAATGCTGCCCAATTCATGAATCACTTAATAAAGACAATTAGATCTTAAAATTTACTCTGTTGAGTTTTGTTTTTTAACAAAGTGATCTGTTACCCGAAGAAAGAGAAAAGGATACTAGGCAAGCCCAAACCACATATGTGCTATGGTAAGAATTCTGAAAATTTTGGCGAAGACCTATAAGAAAAGACTTCAAAGAGGATTTGTGGGGCATGCTTAAAATATAGTTATTCCATTACAGCAAGCACCAGTGCCACCTTATTAGTCCCTCTTCTTATAATTAATACAAACTTAATTTGCAATATTCATCTTCACCGCCACTTCCTACAGTTAATTGAAGGCTAACAGCATAATTTCTCCAAGGTTCAATCTCCAATTCATATTGTTGCAATTGCCATTTCTTCAATGGCAACTTCGCCTTGTGTATTAGCTATCTATTGCTGTGTAACAAATTACTGCAAAACATAGGAGCTCAAAACAACAAATAATACATGATAAGATAACAGATACCTCACAATTTCTGTGGATCAGGAATTCAGGAATCTTCGCTGGGTGAGGCTGGCTGAGTCTCTCATGAGGTTGCGATCATCTGAAGCCATTTTCCTAAAGGCTTGGCTAATGCTGGAGGCTAAGTGATTCTAAGCTAGCCGACCTGGCTATTGGCAAGAGACCGGAGTTACTTATTGGCTGTTGGCTGAAGTCCTCAGTTACTTGTCATGTGACTCCATAAGGTTTATTGTGCATATTTACAACATGGCCGCTGGCTTCCCCAAGGCCAAGTGAACCGAGCGAGAACAAGAACAATAAGGTTTTCATATAATAAAAAATAAAAAAGAAAAAAAAAAGAAAAATAAGGAAGCCACAACACCTTTCTTTGGCTTCCTCTTGTCAGGATGCTTCCACCATATTCAATCCCTTAGAAGTCAGTTACTAACCACAGCCACGTTCAAGGGGGGAGAAATTAGGCTACACTTTTTCAAGGGTGGAGTCTACCCTCTGACCACAAATTGCTTATATTCCTCCCACATACAAAACGTATCCCCTTCCTCCAAAGAACCCCCCCAAGTCTCATCCTTTTAGAACATTTCCATGAAATTCAGAAGGTTGGCATCTAAATTAGTACTAAGCATGGATGAATCTCCTAAATGTATTCGTAAATATCCTCAAGTACAGTTTCTGTGACTCTATAGACAAGAGAGTCTCTTAATCTAGAGACAAGTTATCTGTACCCCCACACATGTAAAATACGATGGTGGGACAGACTTAGAATAACCAACAGAGACGGTTCTGTTCAAAAGAGAGACAATGAGAAGCACTGAGGGGTTTATAGCAATTCCCAAAGTCCGCCAAGCAAATTTTGGAAGTTGCTTGATAAGGAGTCAAAGATTCAAAATAATTCTCTATGACTCTTGACTCCAGTGTCTGGCTTTGGGTTCTGCCTTGAGTCATTTTTCCTTGTTCTTGGAAAGTAGTATGTGGTTGCACCTGAGTAGATTTCTTGTAGAAATTTGCAGGTCCAAAGACGTCATTTCATCTGTCACTTTTCCAACTGTGTCTCAGTTCAAACTGGTAGCATTTCTGCTGATACATTTCTGTTAAAAATTGTTAACTCTGGGGCGCCTGGGTGGCTCAGTCGGTTGAGCGTCCGACTTCGGGTCAGGTCGTGATCTCGCGGTTTGTGCGTTCGAGCCTTATGTTGGGCCCTGTGCTGACAGCTGAGAGCCTGGAGCCTGCTTCAGATTCTGTGTCTCATTCTCTCTCTCTGCCCCTTCCCTGCTCATGCTCATGCTCTGTCGCTGTCTCTCTCTCAAAATTAAATAAACATTAAAAACTTTTTTTTAAATTGTTGATTCTCTGTGAATCTCACTGAGGTTCATGCCATTAGACAAAAGCTATATGCACCAAATCTTCAATATGTGCCTTTCGCTACTGTGGGCAGCTGCTGGGAACAGGATTCTTAGAAACCCTATTGTTTGAGAGGATCTGTCCAACAAAGTGTTAAAATATTTAAATGACCTTTTGTCTCATTGTCAGATACTCTGAGACACCACAATAGATCTTTCTGAGGTCTTAAGGGATTTTATATTCACAACCTAGATTTCATGTTTATTTTTTTAAGTCTATTTATTTATTTATTTATTTATTTATTTGAATATGAAATCTACTGTCAAATTGGTTTCCATACAACCCCCAGCGCTCATCCCAACAGGTGCCCTTCTCAGTGCCCATCACCCACTTTCCCCTCCCTCCCACCCCCCATCAACCCTCAGTTTATTCTCAGTTTTTAAGTCTCTTAAGGTTTGCCTTATTTTTTTATTTTAATGTTTATTTATTTTTGAGAGAGAGAGAGACATACACAGAGCGTGAGCAGGGGAGGGGTAGAGAGAGTGGGAGACACAGAATCTGAAGCAGGTTCCAGGCTCTGAGCTGTCAGCACAAAGCCTGATGTGGGGCTCGAACTCATGTGCCACGAGATCATGACATGAGCCGAAATTGGACGCTTAACCGACTGAGCCACCCAGGTGCCCCAGTCTATTTATTTATTTTGAGAGAAAGCACGTGAGAACACAAACGGGGAGGGGCAGAGAGAGGTACAGAGAGAATCCCAAGCAGGCTCTGCACTGCCAGTGCAGAGCCCAACCCAGGGCTCGAACACACGGACTGTGATATCAAGACCTGAGCCAAAATCAAGAGTCGGACGTTAACCGACTGAGCCACCCGGGCGCCCCTGGTTTCGTGTTTAGACCATGTTTTCCTGAGAGAACCTGGGATCCATCCCTGCCTGAAAGCCAAGTCTTCATTTTCCCTGGCTGCCTTGCCTAGAAAATGTGGTTTAAAATTGTTTAAAAAAAAACAATTAAGCCTTGACTGCTTTATGTTTCACAGTCCTTCCTTCCTTTACCTTGCTCCTCTCATACTTTAGTATAGTGGAAAGATACAC